GGGTGTTTCTGAGTCTTTGTCTGTTCAATGAATGGATTCTGAAGTAAAGCAGTGCCAGCATCAAACCTGAAGTAAGCTTGATTTCTTCACACTTTGAATATGATTCACTTTAGGTCCATGTTTGGTTTCTATATAATGTGTGTTGAGGAGATTCACCAGATCAATCTCTTATTTCAAACACCTTTAAAAATAAGATGCCAAAGACATAAGCTGCGTCCCAAATCGCATACTTATGCACTATTCTACGCCATTTTGTAGTATAAATAGTTTAAGTAGTGTGTTCACACTGAAAACTCTAAAAATAATTAGTGCACTTTAATTACCCGGATGATGCACTCATTCAGCCGCTAAAATGAAGTGTGTAATGATGGACACTTCACGCACTCAACGACCGCATGTTTGCTTACGTAGCGGAAGGGGCGGAGCTATCGGACGCACATGTTGAATAACTTTATTTATTTTGGATGGTGAAAGCAAAATTCTCCCACGAGAGTGATTTATACGCCTCCCGATGGTGAATACGGCAGTACTTACGGCAGGTATTATTTGATAATTCTGTTGTTTATTTCACTGATTTGGCAACCGTCAAACGTCATCAGGGAAACGGTTTGAATTTCCGCTTAGTAAAAAACATTAGTGTGCCATTTGGGACAACACTACATACATATACTATCCTGTTGAGTGTGTAAGTGCATAAGTACATAGTGCATGAGTGCATAGTGTATAGTGTGCCATTTGGGACGCAGATTTACTTTTATTATTTAGCAGACACTTTTATACAGTGTGACCTAAAGATGAGAAATAGATTATATTTTTGTAAGATCCTAAACAATATAATTTTATCTATTTATAATATATTGATTATTATTACTATTATTAAAACATTATTAGTTTCAATTTATGCCACTTGTTAAATACAGACTGTAATTTTTACTCTTATATGAAATAGGTTATCCGCTTGTTAAGTGGTGATGTGTTTGTGACGTATGTAATACTGTTTCCGCGTCCAAGCCGCCATTCATTTGAGTGAAGAAATCATTCGTTTATGATCACATTTTATTCATATCACACATTAAAGTTAATTTTATATAAAGTCATAGTGTACACAACAATCTCTGGGCTTGCTGCATAACAAATACCAAAAAATTTACAATTTATAAAAAAAATGATCACTTTCTGGCCATCGGATATTAGGCATGGACAGATATATTGCGATCGAGATTTACGAAAGCCTTAAATCGCTTTGTAAACGTTTATTATTACCATTTCATGAGTCTCCCCATTCAGTTGAATAGAGCACTTGGACCCGGAAGCCGTTTCGCATGACGTCACACTTAACAAGCGGATTGCACTATATATATATATATATATATATATATATATATATATATATATATATATATATATATATATATATATATATATATATAAAACAGTTTTATCTGGTTCTCGAATCTGATTGGTTAATAGCTGTGCAATATTCTGCAATATCAGAACTCGTACAGCCTCTTCACTCTTGTGTATTACTACACCCTCATAGAGTGACAGCAGATCAATAAACTCACTACAGTTTGACAAATATTGCAACTATTGGACAACATGTACTTTTGAGGCTTTTTTAGTCCAGAATGTAGTTGTTTAAATTGCAATAATACAGCTTATTTATAAGGATAGTGCCTATTTTAAATATTTATAATTTTAGAAATCTACAAGATCGCGACAGAGACCGCATAATAAGCCCTTAGAGGAGGAATAAACCCAGTAATTTTAAACTATAGCTGATCAAATCATTATAAATCAGGTAAGATATTTATCTAAGTTGATCTCTCTCTTTTGTATGTTGTAGTGCTGTATTTATACTATAGTTATTGTAGTGTATTGTGTGTGAGATGGGACTCACATATAAGGAATGTATGTATTTTGTGTTGGCTACTCATTGTATAACCCTGAGCTACTTTTTATTTGGACGTCGGCTTTTAATGAGTCTCCTGTTTTAGTTCCTGCAGACAAGCTCAGTAAGCAGAAAGAAAGAAAGAAATGTTTGCATGTGTTTAGCGTTTTTCCTTATCGCAAACACAACTGTAATCTGGTAGTGTTTGTGCTGCTTGTCCTTTTTTAGGGTTAATTACAATGATCTCCCGATTGCAATAGAGAAATACTGGGAAATCTCTGTAGACTGATGGCATTTCATGCCGTTCAGCCTTATAATCCTAAAATGTGAGCAAAATCACCTGTTTTGTCATCCCTTTAGACATTATGCCAGAGAATCATTCAAATACTAGCTCTAAAGTGACATTAGTGAATGAGAAATGGTTTCTGCTGTACTGACATCAGCTGCAGATGTGAATTAAAGGCGGAAGAAAGTAGTTCCTCATACAAAAGGCATTTTAGACAGATTTTCTTTTTTATATAAACGATTCTATAAACGCAATATCGCACTCGTAGCAGTGCAATGTGGCTGTATATTGTCACTGTCACTGGTGGTACACTAAGGCATATTGCCATATTGCCATATTGCACTGCTACTCATGTGATATTGCTCATATATATATATATATATATATATATATATATATATATATATATATATATATATATATATATATATATATATATGTGTGTGTGTGTGTGTGTGTGTGTGTGTGTGTGTGTGTGTGTGTGTGTGTGTGTGTGTGTATATATTAATCTCTTTATTAATCTGGGATCGCCACAGCGAATAAACCGCCAAATTATCCAGGATATGTTATATGTTTTATGCAGCCTTTCCATCACTGGGAAACACCCATACACTACTGACAATTTAGCTTACCTAATTGACCTATAGCACGTGTCTTTGGACTGTGGGGGAAACTGGAGCACCCAGAAGAAACCCACGCCAACACAGAGAGAACATGCAAACTCCACAGAGAAATCCCAACTGACCCAGCTGGGACTAGAACCAGCAACTTTCTTGTTGTGAGGGGACAGCGCTACCCACTCCCCCACCGTGTCACTTAAATTTATAAAATATATTATTAGAGGCTTATATTATTTTATTAGAGGTATTTTTGAATGCAGTAATGTTTAGAAAGCGCTACAGTGCAGTTTATAATAAACTATAATATAAAGTTGTATAAAAATTAAGCAAAAATGTGATTTTTTTTTGTTTTGATTTTTTTTTTTTATGTTTTGGTGTCTTACTGTACATATTAACAGAAAAAAAGGCATTTAATAAAAATTACCTGATCAGCAGAGTTTGTTATGTCAGATGCCAAACTAACCAACATTCATGAAAACCTGCCATAAGAACCTGCCATGTTGCAATGCTCATATACTTTCCAGTCTGCTAAACTTCAGCTCTGGTGTGGACGATAGAGATAGTGGTAAAATCTAGGTTTTCTGCCTCCGGCGGCTGCTTCCATCTCACTCTGTTACATCTGCAACTAAGAAATGCCACAGCCTTAAAATCAAAGAGAAAGCCGGGAAGCGGAAAGCTCTGGAATCTGGGCTGTGGCTCACAGATACACACCAGTCCTTCATGTTTCCAGAAGTAAGCAAATGAAAATGACTGCACGAACACGGCCTTTGAAGCTTCTCCCTGACTCCTTCACTAAGAAAGATGAGGAAAACCCCATTTTCAGCATGATTGTGGATGTGCATTTAAAAAGAGCATTCGATTTGGAAATTCATTGATTTTCGGCTTAGTCCCTTTATTAAACCAGTCTCCGTGTATCTGTGTTTGCACTGGGCGAAGAGCAGTAAACTAATGAGCACTGTCGAACACTATGGTAAATCAGCACTGTTTATGAACGCGCTCAGCGGCACTTAAATGTAATCAGGAAATGGACGTTTTTAAAACTTCAGTACCAGGACAACACTATTACAGACAACACGAGGGTGTGCTGCAGAGGACTGCAGTGTTTTATCGCTCACCAGGCTACATAGACTGAAGCAGGAAAGCGCCCCCACTGTGTTTAACTAATGCCATGAGCTGAAGCCTATGAGAACACTTGAGACTATTCCTCTTAAAGAGATTGTGATGTTGTTTGATGCTAAATTGCTTTTAATTGTTTAAATTAAACTTACTGAATGATATTGAAGTAATGTTTACACCATTTCTGCATTTTGAAATCTGCAACAGCTGGAAGTTTATAGTGCACAGCATGTTACTGCAATGTTTACAGTGCTGGTCCTATACTTCAGGGTTTCTTCCCACCGCAGCCTCACTTTGGTTCTTTAAAATGACGGGCACATGAAATAAGCGTATTCACACTGACTCAAGAACTTCGACCTTGACTGACACTAAATACGTTTACATCTGTACATCCACATATAATGTATCTGCTTGTCCGTCACGCCACAGTTTTAGACTTTTTGGAGGGGTCTTGTGAATTAACATGCAGGTTAGTAACATATGCAGGTCATTAAGTGGTTTTGTTTCTGTCCGCTTTTGTGTTTTTTGACGCCATCTTGTGACTGAATAGTCTGCAGGTTATTGTACGCTTCACTCAAACGATTTTGTTTCTGTCCGCTTTCCGAAGATATAATGAACTGTCATGGCTCAGAAAAAAGTTTTATTGCAAATGTCTAATTTGCAGAGTTGGGCTGTAGTGTCACTACAAGTAGTGACGCTACTAGCTTAACTACATTTCTCAGTAGCGTGGCGGTAGCGTTGCTAGTTTATACATCAAATAGCTTTTCAGTTGCGACGCTATTTTATTAGTCAAGTAGCGCAGTAGCGTCCACACAAGCGACATTTACAGATCGCAGATCAATAAGTGACGGCACCGACATTTACGGAGCTGTGAGGCCGGTGTCTAGCCGATGAAATATGGCGAGAATGACGATTTCTTCTTCGTCGTCGCCAATCGAAATTTGCTTGATGGAAAGATGAGGAGTTATTTCTTAAGCAGGATTCCTTGTGACTGACTATACCTCGAGAAGTACGTTACGATGCATTAACGTTACGATGCAGTAACTGATGCTGTGCTCAAAAAATACTTTAGCATATAAATATATAT